TCTGAATACTTTTAAATAATAAAAATAATTATAAGTTATAAAATTAAAACTGTTCATATTATATTTTATCTTGTTTACAACCATTAACAAAATAATCTTACAACTGTATAGAAATTTTATTAAAAAAACTTGATAATCAAATTATATTTATTAATATAATATGAATTTTAAAATTTATATTATTTTTTCAAGAGTTACAGGTAAATATTGCATTATTATTATTTAATAATAATTGCATATTTGATAATAATATAAAGATTTATTTAATAATTTATTACTAAATTCAATTGCTCAATTCCAGAATATATATTAAAAGTTTTGAAAAGAATTCTTGCTTTAATCTGAATTATAATTGCTTTAAGTTATAATTTAAATTCTTAATTTATTCTTGTCATTTATCTTCAATTTCAGGATATTTGGAGCTTGCTTCTGTATTAAATCATCTAAGTTAAGATTTATATTTTAAAGTAAATTTTATTTTTTTTAATTTCTAATTTGGGATGTTTGTCTAAATAAATTAAATCAAAAGATTTTCACCTTATTTTCCATGCTCTTTTTTAGGTTTTAAAAGTAATAGACTTCTTTGTTACATGTTCAAACACAGCCGCACCTTTCTATAAAACACTCTATATAAGAACAAATTACTTTTAAGAACAATTTTTCATTATTATAACGTATTAAAGATTTTACTCTCTATAAAACCATAATTATAAATTTTTATAAGAACCAAGTTTTTTGTTTCCCGACCATGTTCTTATAGAAAGATGTAACTGTACTGATCAAATTAAGACCATTTGATATTATATTATTATTATAAAAAGTATAATTTACAATAGCAATAACGGGGGTTTTTGTAAAAGATTCGATTAGATGACATCATGAAGAAATGATAGGATGGTGAGTTACTAGAGTTCGCAATGTAACAGGCTCATTAAACAACTTTGACATCCTAGTACGTGCTTGTATCAGAATTGGAATTAATTTTGAAGTAAAATTTGACTCGCATAAATTGTATTTGAATAGATTAGGAAATTTTTTGCGTTTTATATTCTAAAGAATCATAGTACTGAAAATATTGAAAGTGCAAATCAGTCAGTTCACAATCGTAGGTATGGTAAATAAAATTTGAAAACTTTTTATTACCTAGTAACATTCTTTATAAATGTCTAATACAAGATCACTATAATGACTTAGTGATTTACCAGTCACAATCTCGAACAAAATTATTCCAAAACTATAAATATCTGCAACTTTAGTTTATGACTTTCCAGTATTTCTAGTATTCCGTGAATTTCTTGATTTTTAGACCTATTAGGTCAGTGAAAGTTTACTATCCACAAGTTTTTTTCGTAAATACTTTTTTAAAATATAATAATATCCTAATTTTTCTTTCCAAGTAAGGAGGGGGTGACTATATAGGTGACTATATAAGGTGAGTATATAAAGGGAGACTATAAATAATTGTATAAGTATAAATCGTTCTGAATTTTAGAAAAACAATAAATGCGGATTTAAAAATAATATTAATGGAATATTAAATTTAAGTAATCAATCAAAATGATTCTATCAACTGATGCTCGGCATACTGTTATCGTTATGTATTTATTTACAAGATTATTGTTATAGTATTTATATTTAACCAAATATGCATTGCATAACACTTGTGTTTCTATTATTACTCATACTAACATGCAACTCAAAAAAACAAAATCCGCCATTAGATAAAACAAAGCCATGGTCACAAAACGAAACGCCTTGTCTAAACGTAACAACACCAATCCCGAGAACAGACTACACACCTAACGACAGAGTCCTAATCAAATGGCATCTATTTTCAAAATGTGTCAATTTAACAAACGTAATTAGCAACTTCACAATATCAATTCACAACGATCCAGTAGTGACTGGTTTTGTAAAGCCGACTTATAAATCATTGTATGATGAACTGATTGCTAATGTGAATTCGTTTCAGTATCTTTGGACTGTTCCATTTATCCATTCCGAAAAAGTTGAAAATATGAGTTTGTTTTATATACACATTGTGACGTCGTCGGCTTTAGAATATGAAAATCATGCAGTGAAACCATTTGGTGTCGCTGGTCCATTTGGTATCGAAGAAGTTGCAGCGAAATTTCCCAAAACTTGGTATATGCCTCAAAAAACCACGGCGTATCATACTAGCGTTTCAAATCCAACTTTCACAAAAACTGAATCCGAAGTTTCATCAACAGGGTCTATAATAAAAGAAAATTCAAATAATGGAATTCTGACAAAAAATTTTGTGCATTTTTTTGGATTTTCTTTCACTATAATTTCATTTTTGATTAGTAGCATTTTTTTAATCATTTTTCATAGCTAAGTTTGTATTTATTAATATGGTTAACGTTAAATTAAATTACTTCGCATTTAAAGTATGTTTCGTACACTCCCGCGCAATAAGTTTAAGACCTTTAAGATCTGTGATAAATAGTTGATAATGTTCATTTATTTGTGTAAATTATTTATAATATATTGATTAATAAAAATTGTCACACAAATTTTTTTCCTTTTTCTTACTTTATTTCCTGCCAAACTGATAAAACCAATGAATTAACCAATTTCAAATTGGTAAAATTATTGGTTTACATGAAGCTGGTGACTCTGAAAGGATTATTTCAAAAAAACAGGGTTTGGCAAAATTGCTATACATAATGTAATAACAAATATCATGAAACAAGTTTCTGTTGCTTTCCAAAGTGAACATCCAAAAAAATAATCAAACAAGACTAAAATTATTATTGTTAAAAATCAGCATGAATTTATATTAAAATTCAAAGAAATTTTTATTGAATCTACTAAAAATATGATATGTAGATGTGCTATGCAAAAAGTATTATATGAAATGAGATACAATAGTTGAATAGCACTTATAAACTTAATATTAGTGAAAATATTATTTGCAATAGATATATAATAATAAATAATTGAAAGAAAATTATATAGAATAATGAGTTTAAATTTATTATATTACAAAATAATAAAAAAACTCAAGTTTGGCAGCTTTTCAAAAAAAAAATATGTATTAATTATCTTGTTTCAGTTATAAAGTATAAAGAATAAGAGATTATAATATGAAAATGTTTTTTATAATATGAATTAGATCTATTAGTAAGAATTAATAATCAGATTAATAATAAAAAATATATTCAAGAAATATTTAACTTTCATTTAGTTTTATTTTTGAAGAAATTTTAAGAGAAATATAAAGATTATTTATTTTAATAAGATAATATATCAATATATATATAAGTAGAATAATATAAAATTTTATTAAAAAATAGATATAATTTTATTATCTTGATTCAAATAAATTTCTAATCTTAATTTTATAAAATATTTATAAAATAAACTTGAATATTATATCAGATTCAAAAAGAAAAATATAATAAAATTAGAAGAACTTTTTTAGTAATATTAAATAAAAATTTTAAATAAAATTTGTAAAAAGCTTATTAATAATATAAATTATTATAATAAAGTTTTGTAGTTATTTTACAAGATATTAATAATATTTTTTTTATATTTTATAATATGAATTAGTGTAAAAAAATTTATATTTTAGATAAATATTAATAAATTATTTAAAATTTTAATTCTATTTTATTTAATTAAGTTATTAAATATTAGAATTTATTTAAATATAAAAATTTTATTATAATATATATAATTTATAAAAAAAATTTTACTAATAATAATATTTTTCAATTATTATTTCTTAAATTTTATTATATAAATTTATATAGTAAATAATTTAATTATTTAACTTTGAAATATTTTTATAATTATTAATTCAATTTTTATAAAATTTAGAATATATATTATTAAATCTAGAATAATCTAGGATAATTTGCTTGTATAATTTGAAGTT